ATTTTATAAATCTGACGGAGACTTTTAAAAACAGAAAACGGAGAATGTACACAAGAATTTAAACGCGTTTTGAACTATCTTCATCAGTAAATGCTCGTAGAATGGTGACTGCTATTAGAATAAACGCGTCTTATATACATTTTCTGAATAAGCACAGTAGAAAGAGCGGGACGAGTAGAGAAAAGAAACGAAGATACTATTTCAAGGGAGAATGAAATTTATGAAAGAACGTTCTGAAAATGGCGAGATGTTTTCAACGGGAGAGTGAAATTCTCTGCATGCATATAAAGATGTTTTTCAAGAGAGAGTGAAATCGTTTTTGTTATTACGGCGCTCTGACAGTATATATAACCTTACGGATGATATACTATATCATCCGTAAGGTTATATATACTGTCAGAGCGTATATACTGCGTATATATACTGTAGAGTCTACAGTAGAGTTTATTTTTCATGATGGTAAATCATGCAGTGGGGAAAGATCAATATCGGTAAGTCTGGGATATATATATTATTTTTAGAAACTGTATTTTTTGTAAAAATGAAAGAATTTTGGAGAAAACTTATTGGGCTTATATCAAAAAGTCGCTGAAAATGCTTAGATTTTGGCAAAAAACTGGAGTTTACAATAAAGGGGTGTGTTTTACGCTGATGAAAAAAGAAAAAAGTCTTTTTACATGTGGTTAAAGAAAAATGGTGACTTTGTCGATTTTAGGTAAGAAAATGTTTTGGAGTGGATATTTTGGAAAGCGTGGTACTAGGGGTATCGTTGAAAGGTTTTTGCAATACACAATAAATAGGTTAAACTGTAAGGTACACACAGCTCAAACTTCAAGCTGAATTTTTTTCCTAGTTAAGTCATACATGGTTGAATAGAGCGCGATGACCTGAGTAACAAAAAAGTGGTTTTTAACTTTTGCAAAAAGTGTTTTACAGTTGAAAAATTTGAAAGATCAATTTTTTCATCTTCTTTCGAAGCCGTTAATTTTCCATAAATTTCATTTTTCTTCATTCAGACTTCTTTTCAACCTTTCAAACGATATTTTTCAGATTCAGCATTAAAATCTGAATATAAAACTGATATTTACTTGACTTCAAACTCAAAACTCGATGAGCATGGCTTCGGTGATCAGATAGACGCGAATTTATAGCGATTGCGCCAAGAATGAGGCGCGAACGTTGACTTGGGTACTGTCTAACCAGTCGGTTGTCGAATGTCAGCAAAGTATTTAATAAATTCAGCGTTCCTAACATAAACATTTAACGACCAACTAACTAATTAATTCTGGCATGCTGGATTTAGTTAGTCAGTTGATCATAGAGTGTTTATGTTGGGAAAGCTAAATTTATTAAATACTTTACTGACATTCGACAACCGACTAGTTAGAAAATAGTTATTCATATCAAATTTTTGCTTGTTCTGGTAACGTTTCTTAAATTCCTTTTTATTTCATTTATTATAGCATGATTAAATATAATAAGTACTCAAATTGTTTGAATGGTATGTATGTATAATGGATCTTCTTTTTTTTTGTAAATCGAATATAGAACTGCTATTTTGGATCTTCTTTTGTCAATCTATTTCTCAACACGACGTGATTAATACTTAATTTAACAGTGGTAGTTAGCGTTTCTGAGATTTGTTATAGTAGTAAAAAAACCTTTTGATGGACTTTAAAGTACAAACTGCATGTTAAGCCTTGAGGTTGGACAACACAGATTATTATTCAGACATGCTGTTTTTGAGTGATTCAGCTGATGATCGTAGCAGTACTAATGTGTAGACTCCGTGGCGCAACGGTAGCGCGTCTGACTCCAGATCAGAAGGTTGCGTGTTCGAATCACGTCGGGGTCAACCCCTTTTTTTATCAACATTAGTTCCCAGTGTAGGAGAGAAGCAAGGTATAGTCCATCGAGTAGATGATACATTTTGTTAAAATATGTGCAAGATATCATCGAAATATTAGTTCATCGGAGACACAAATATTATCGTGAATTCGTGATGAGAAATACTGCTACTACTATCATTGTATTTTCTTCACACAATTTCTTTGATTAATTACCTATAGGTAATTAATTAAGTTTGTTTATTATAATAAACAAACTTTGGATCTCCATTAACTACCATAAGCCGAAACAAAAGCCGAAAAGCTATGGCGATCAAGAAAACTCCACTAACTCGCTGAATGAGACAAGACTTCCATTTTCAAACGATAATTTGCGATATTGGCAGCCACGTATCTCAAAAACTAAAAGAGATCGTTTTCTAAAAAATAGGCCAGTATAGTGTTCAGGCTGTATACTTCAAACTAATATTAAAAAAGTGGAAAACGGTCTTCTTTATTAATGTAGTTTAATTCACGAAGTTGGCAGAATACGAGATAATTTTACTCTTTTCCTTGTCTATATAACAGATGAACATTCAATAAAAATAAGGTGTCGCTAGTCTAAAGGTGGAGCAAAACTTTGTTATTGCGATATTTATATATCGTTGGCTAGAGCTTGTTCAGCTTAGTACGAATATGTGTGTTTTAATGTTTGAAAGCGACTTTGGTAACCGAAAATTTAAAAAATTAGAAAACATCAATATTTAAAAAACACGCTTAATTTTTAGAAAGGCTAGTTTTTTTAGCACCAATGTTGTTCCGAAGAGTCGAAAGTGTGTTTTTCGGATTCAACACATAACACTGAGTCTAGAAATATGGATTTGAAGAAAATACGAATGAGTCTTTTTATTCAAATGTTTTACAAAAGCAATTAATTCTTTGGTTATAGAGAAAGCAAAGAAATCCCTCCAAGAAAATCTCAAGCAAGAAAACCTCCCAAAGAAACGCCGAAACCGTTCTTACAGCATCACGTTAACGATAGTGCTGCATGTCGACCATCCTTATCTTCTCCATCAACTAACGCTACAATAGGGGTACCATCCTCTACTCCTCGTAGATCAGCCAGACTAGTGAGTATGGATATTTCGGTAAGTGACTGTGTCCAACTTCAAGCCGTAAAGAAAATCACAATTGTATGGTTGAAGAAAATTACAATTGTGTCATTTAGAATACGCCAATAGTACAAAGAAGTATCCCAAAACAACAATTGAACAACTGATGTTTTTCTGCATTCTACATTCTTGCGAAACGCCGTAATACAGAAAACCAACCATTTGATTTTGTGCAATATTCTGAAGAATCATCAAGTGATGGCTTGGTGAGTATCTTTCTCTCGCATTGACGGAAAGCCGAATTTTCTCTCATCCTATTTTTATCTGTATCGTTCCAGGACAATGATCCACTGAACATTCATGGTTTAACAAGCACAAAAACAAGTAGCAAACGAACAAGTAGTCGAAATCCTTTAACAAATGGCAAAAAAGGCATCCTCTAAAAACACAACTGGTCAGGTGGTTAACTCCCTAGGCTTTTTAATGTGATGAGCAAATTTCTCTTGTTATACTTTAGAACAAACATTGAAGAAGTAAATATGCATGTCTTGATGTAAAAAAAAACATTGATTATTGAGACTATTTAAATTTCTTTATTTCTTCTATTTCTTAAAGGAGTAAAAGAAATAAAGAAATTTAAATAGTCTCAATAATCAATGTTTTTGTTTAATATCAAAAAAAAGAAAAATGTTTTTGATAACGACCAAAGAAGTAACAGGAACTTTTACAGTCCTAGTCGTAGTACGAGGACCTACTGAAAAAAAATATATTTATTAGTAAACTTTCGTTTGTAAGTGTTAACTCACCCTTTCCTTGCGTGGGTACAGGCTGATCCGTTGCTTCGCTCTTTTAATCAGCAACAAAATGCATCTCAAACACAGTTAACACACGGGTTCAAACACTGACAGCTTTAGCCGATGTTATTACTGTTGTTGCAGCTGCTGCTAATTTACGTACATCAGTTGTCTCTTTGGCTGCAAATCTTTTTAGATCTTCAAATTCCGATATTTCTCAGCATGTAAAGACACTACCACTAGATGGTGAAGATAAAGGAGAAAAATCGAAGCTATTAGATGAATGTATTTCATGTCATCGATCTAAAATTTATCCACTTTCCGTTACTATAAGTGATTCTAGTACACAAACTGAAGCTCTGCCATTGAATACGTCGGCTAAAATTTCCGGTAAAAAATTAGATCATCTTTCTGAACCAAAAATAAGAAGAAAAATTTCAATGCCATCTGGAAAACGAAGAATTCGATTCCATCTTATCTTAAATTGAGTTCTTCTGATAGTGCCGAAGAAGGTATTAAATCAAAATCAAACTTTAAGCCAAAACTTGTGAAAAGTTGCAAGCAGAAAGCTTCGCCATCATCATCACCATCTTCTGATAGTTCCTTTGGTGTTGATGATACAGAAAATTCGGATAAAAGTGTAGTTTCAAAGTCAGAAAAGAAGGAGAAAAATGTAAAAAAAGAAGGCGCCTAATAAAAAACAAATTTCTTCTGATAATAGTGATGATAATCCTAATTTTAGTGGCAAAGAGATAACATCAAAATCTAGAAAGAAAAGAAAATCGAAATGAAAATTACCTAGTTCTTCGTCTCGATTGACTGTAACTGAGCAAGCAGCAACTTTACAGATCACTGTGAATGACTCAATTAGTCGGTTTAGTGGAAAACCGAATGAACAGCTGAATAAGTTTCGGCATGAATATCAACAAACGATGCAGACTCTTTTTCGTGCTTCAGATTCGCAGTTACTTCGAAATATCTGTAATTGGCTGACAGGTCCAGCTCGTGACTGGTAGATTATTGCTTGCACATATTTCTTGGTTCTTTTCTCTTTCGTCAGTTTTCCTTAGATTAAACGAAACAACACACGTGGTCTAGTCTATCATATAAAAGTATCTTTCTATTTTCTCGTAAATCAGACATGCAAAGAAAACGATGACTATTATACACAAAGTATTTCTTTCTGACTTCATTTGTGAAGCAAAGATCATTTCTACTAAGTTTTGTACCTGTTTAAACTACTTTTGTGGATATTTTTCTCGTCAAATTAGTACAAAAATAGATATCAACCTTTTCATCTTTGTTCTGTGATCAATTTCTCGCGTATGTTCAATTCGGCATACTGATATTACGCGTACAACACGTTTAGAAAATCTTGGAAACAAATTTTCTCAGAAGTAGTTACAGTATGGGTTGAAATCTTCACGAGTTCTTGTCATGATTAAGAGCTGAAAGACTATTGGAAATGCAGAAGTATGCAGAACTAAAACTGTTATTTACTTACTTTGAGTTCACTCTGTGTACATCTCAACTGCATCGTATTCCCGTAGGGAAAATCGGGTAAAACACGGTGAAAATGGTGTCCCATCAACCTCAAGAAAGGCTCACATGAAAGCTTATGTTTTCATGAAAATCTTTCGAGGCACCTACAATCGCAGCAGTTAACGAGAAATGCTACAGAAAAGCCACAGGATTAGTGTTTCTTTAAAGGTCTTCTGAAATTGATTTGGTTTTTGTTTTCTTCAGAGTAAGCAAGTTTCATGACATATGACTCTCCGTTTTTATAAATATTTGTAAGGTTAACACACGTACTATCAATGATCAGTTTGATGGTCTTTATGAAACCTCATCCAAATTTGCATATAGTTGTGCTCCAAATATTGTTTGTAATTCAGCGGATAAAGACGATAATAACGGACATATATATTTTGAAACAATAAAAAATATAAAAACTGGTGAAATTATGACAGTTGATTATTTATTACCTATGGAATCTATTATGTCAACATCTCAACGTCGAGCCATTTTAAAACATCAATACTATTTCGATTGCGAATGTTCACGTTGTATCTGCCCGGATAATTGTCGTTTATTAAAATGTCTATCATGTAACATTGGATACATTGAACTAGATGGTGAATCAAAAGAAAGTATCTGGAAATGTAACTAATGTCGATGTAATTTTGAAAACAATGAACAAATTCTACAGTTAGAATCGTCCGTTGAATTCATTATAAAGCAATCTATCTGGTGTATTCATGATGATCAAGAGAATGAGCATGACTTGGGCTTATACGAATCGTATTTAAAAGACATAGAAAAAACAATAGGTATCTACATAGACATTTCAATTGTAGGATCATAAGTTTCAGCAAAAAATATTGTTATGCTTTCACTCGATAATTACCTTAAGTGCGAATATACCACTATGGCGATAGAAGGTAGCTAGAAGAGCATTTTAGCAAAATTTGAATGGACTTGGGACTAAGCTAAGGAGGACGCATTTATTTTACTGCACGTAGTCGTTCGGAAACTCACTTTTTATACCAGTAGATAGAGCATATCCTGAAATATGTTTATGACTATTTGAAAGTACGAAAACTCGACTCCCATTTTTTTGCTCATATCTGTTGCAGGACGACATCATTAGATTAATTTCAAAATGAACCAGTTATTAATGAAATTATATGACAAGTGTAAAAATAGTCATAAATGCGCCCAAACAAGCCTATTTATGATTAAATGGTTAAATGAAAATATATTTCAATGAAATAAGGTGCCAGCAATGCGAAATTCAAGTAAAAAATTTTTTTTGCCGTTTTTTTTACATCATTTGATAGAGTGGGAGTTGCTGATCACGAAAAACAACTTTTTACCTTACACAAATAT